ATGAGGAAATAGTCTTGGAGAGGTGGCCTAAGGTTCAGAGCATTTGAGCCGGCCATCAGTAGTAGCTCCATAGCGGCTGGTGCTAACCACCTTGCAGTGCTACTTAGTCCAGAACACACCCTTTTCCTCACTAACTTTACATAGCAAACAGGAAAAAAACAATGGGTATAGGGTACTGATGGTAGGTGTCTCTTGAAGGTAATGAAACCATACAGAACTTTGAGGAGATGTCCTAAGAGGAGTGGCAAGACAAATGTAAATTAACAAAAGTGGTATTTTGAAATGCTATTTAGCTGGCCTTTAGTTTGAACTACAGGTTCAAAAAATAGTCTGAATTATGTCTCCAGAATGTCTGGTAATGAAAACATTATCAGGTAAATGAGATGATGTATGAAAAGAACAGCAAACTAACCTGCTATAGGAATGTATGGTATGGTTCTCCCAGAATTGTTTGACTTCTTTTCTCATAAGTTTGTATAACCTCACAATTATTGCACATATTTCCCTTTGTTGTTTGTTTCATTGCAAATCTTGATTTCCTCTAAAACACAAAAAGGATAGACTTAAAGTTACTGGCTTCACAGAATCTAAAAAATTCTAAAAGTTCAAATTTCCATTGTAGCAACATCAAAAACAAGTTGCAAAGAATATGGATTTTTTTTTTTTTAACAATTGGGTTTGGTTAAATAAAACCTTTGCAAACATACTGCTAGCTGGAACCAACAAAAATGTAAAGAAAAATTTTTACTAGGGTGTTTTTTTTTTAAGTCTATCACATACCCCTTTGCTCATATTTCATCCCTTTAAATAGCGCTGAACCCGTCGTCCCCAAAGCATTTTACAGAGAATTAGTTCAATCTGTAGAATTGATACGAAATAGTCTACCTATAAGAGAGACGCTGCACTTCACCACAAATTTGAATGCCTTCTGGAGCTTTGTTGTGTTCACACCTTTCAGAGGTTTGGGCATAATTTTTATTCTTACCTGTCGTGGACGGTTTTAGCCAAGAAGCTGCTCAGACACCCGATCTCCTTGTATTATTTTATTTCTTTTATTCCCGTGTCTTGGCTCCATTCCTGGACGGAGAGGAAAGGCAGGTGCCTGAGAGCGGCAGTGGTCAGACCCTCGGCTGGAAAATACCAAGGATGCAGAAGGGACCTGGCATCCCTCTAGCTCCCGGTGCCCCTGGTACTACTTAAGGATGCGAAACTC